GTGGTGTCAAGAGAAAAGAAAATGGATTCTTGGAGAGAAATTTCTTAAGGAGATTGTTACAGTAATCTTGGCATGATGATTCTTCTGAAGGCAGGATTTACCATACTCTCAGTTATACAGAACTTTATGTTTTGGCTTCAGCTCCATTAACATTAGCAAAACTCCCATCAGTTACTGATAATACAACTCCATTAGCAGAGACTGGGATAAATTAACCCATAAAAAGGTGGGTGTAAAAAAGTTTCTCACTTTCTTCCAAGACACTACTGCACACTTAGAGTGTGCCCACTCTTACCAACTTTCTCTTGCAGTTCCCAAACTGACAAAATATCATGGCTGTAGTTAAGAAGAGAAGGGACTTGCACTCTTTGTGCAATAGACAGAAAATCACAACAGTGAGGTGATTTTTTGGATACAGATCTCAGGTAGAATAATATGGATTCCAAGTTTTGACAAAGTACTTCCTCAAAAAATTAAACCCATTGCATATAACACCCTAACCCAGAATCCTGAGAACGCAACCAGAGACAGTCATAATTATCATACAGGACTATTTAGGACTTCTGTTATTCTCTTAACCCTTAGCACACTCCTGATTTTTTGGTAGTCAAATAGGTTACTGTCAGTTACTTTATTTTCACATAATACATGGACAAATTAAAAAAACTGAATTTCTACAAAGTAATGGTAACAATGTTTGCTATCTCTGGTTCATGTACTTGCTAATATCCAGAGATCAGCATTTTTTTTTAAAAAAAAAACAACACCTCTTTTCACTTATTTCTATATTTGACAACAAATAATTGGTTGTGCTCTCTGTACCTTGTATAGCTATTTTCATTTTGTTTCTCTGTGGCTTTTGTCAATGTAAAAGAAGAAAAAATAAATTTTATTTTTTATATATTCTGAATAGAAAAATGTCACCGTAAAAATCACAGAGTACTAGAGACAAAGGGACAGCCCATTCCATGAAACTAGTTCAAATGGAAACACCTATTTTTCAGGTGTTGGAAAAAAATCCGTAAGTGTAGCCAAAATGTCTTCTACCTAACAATTTAGTCACTTCCTCCAACTGTAGCCTTTTTTCATCACAACTTAATCCTAATCACCAAAGAGCTCTAACACCAGAAAAACGGACACACCTAGTTTGTTCAAGCTTGAATCCAATGGCTTTGTTAGAATATAATTTATTAGGACCAACTGTTTATGAATTCCCTCAGCTTAAAGCATTTAAAGTCTGCGTGACGGTGAACGTAGAGAGTGGAAGTTTTACGGCTGCTTCATCATTGCTCTGCCTCAAGTCACTGAGCAGTGGATAAGAATGGGACTGTTGAAAAAGTTCTCCCTTTGTTGGGGAAGGTCTTCTGATGTCAAAGGCAAATCCTTCAGGAGTATGGCTTTACCCTTTCTCTCACAGCAGCTGTTTCTCACAGACAACATTTGCTATAGTTTTATATCATACTATTATTGACAACTATACAGTAGTCCTACCATTCTTACTTTTTGCAATGAGGAAGTGCAGTGTTGCGACTAATAGGGTGAGAGGTTGGCTTGCCACCATCAGCTAAGGCTCACAGACAAGACTTAAAATGGGAATTAGTTAGGTGCCCTACTGCCAATTTTATGTCTTTAAAAATCCTCCCTTTTCAAAGTAATTAAGGGTGCTGAATTTGATCAGGCATCGCAAGCACCCAGCCCATTCAGCTGTCTGGTGAATCACAGAGACAGATTCAGGGCACTTGTTTCTGCTTTTGAGTGTAATGACCCTCCGTGCTGTAAGGGTGCTGGAACAATAAAGTAATTGGTCTGAACATGCTTTCACAGTCCTTCAGAAATGCTCTACAGCCACAACTACTGCCATCTCTGATCAGCAACAAATCTGGAGTGGGGCTGTTCATGCTAGCACAGCCTCTCTCAACTGGAACACTTTCATCCTGTCAATAGCTAGGGTTTTGAAAAAAACTGGAAGAACAAGGTAGGCTCTGATTGCAAGAAAGGTCTGGCACACTAGGATTAAACGAAATGTGACTACCAGATGCATTGTAATAATAATGCAACTTATTAATACTTATTATACTTTAATTACTATTATCGTGCCTACATTAAGCAGATCTTACTGTATTAGCCATATACCTTATGGATTTTTTATACCTAAAATACTAAACCAGTTGTTTGTCATGCCTTTTTAAAAAAATATCATGGATTATTAAATTGCCCATACATATACAAAACCATTCTTTACACAGTTATCTTAGATTTCTGTTCCCAATCTTCTATCCCTTCGGCAATCTGCAGCAGCACAATGGTAAGAATGGAGAAATAAAGATGATAATCATTGCAGCATTGTAGCACCTTCTTTGATGAAAAGCCACCTCCCAAAATGTATCTGCACCATGTTTTAATGAAATAAAGTCCTTTTTGAGTCTAGAATGACTATCTTCCACAGTAAAGAAAAGACTTCCTTCTTAGAACATTCTGCTGACCAGGAAATGAACTTTCATTCAAAAGAAAAATGAACACTGTTAATAAAAATTCCATGAGTCTTAAAAATGCCTAGCTCTTTCATATGCAGTTCTTAGCAGAAGAGTTTT